GTTTTAGCTATTACAAACTGTGTCGCTATAAACATAGGTGTGCATATATCACTGTGACATGATTCTTTTAATTCTTTTGGAAAGATACCCAGCATAGCTTTGGCTGGGTCAAATGGAACCTCTAGTCCCAACTCTTTGAGGTATCTCCATATTGATTTCCATAGTGGTTGCACTAGTCTGCACTCCCACCAACAATGGAGAAGGGTTCCTTTCTCCCTATAACCCTACCAACACTTGTTATTGGTTGATTTCCTGATAACAGCCATTTTTTCTGTGCTGAGGTGGAATCTCAGTAGTTTTCATCTGCACCTCTGGAGTGACCAGTGATGTGGAACATTTTTTCATATGTTTATTTACTCCTTTTACTTGTTTGTCTGAGGCATGTCTGTTCATTTCAGGTGGACATTTTTGAATTGGGTCTTTATATTTGGAGGTCTACTTTTTGAGTTCTTTATATATTCTAAATAGTATTCCTTTTTCTGAGAACAGCTGGTGAAATTTTTTTACCACATTATAGGTTGTCTGTTAGTTCTGTTGGTGATTTCTCTTGCACTGCAGAAGCTTTTTAAAAAGATGAAATCACAGTTGTTGTTCTTTTGTGCTAGTTCCTGTGCTATTGAGGATTTGTTCATAAAGTCTTTTCCTATGCTAGTGTCTTCAAGAGTTCTCTCTAATTTATCTTCCAGAAAGTTTAGTGTTTCTGTTTTCCAATGCTCTGATGCTATGAGATACAATAATGTCTCCTGTTTTTCTCTCTAGTCTCTCAGGCACATTGTGGCAACCAGGCTACCAGTCTGTGGGGTTTTTTTTTGTTTGTTTGTTTGTTTGTTTGTTTGGTACCGGGGATTGAACTTGGCTTGCAAGGCAGGCCACCAAACCACAGAGCTAAATCACTGGCCCTGATCTTATGTGTAATTTTTTTTTTGTTTGTTTGTTTATTTGTTTTGGAGGTTACCATTCTGAAAGTATCACTTTATGTAAACTAGTTCAGCCATCCATGCACTTAAATCTCTGTAGAAGATTCCTTTTTGAGGAATAAATCCACATTCTTTGGTTCTGTTGTAGGTCTTTCAAATTGACCACTCTCTTTAAGAGCTTTTTCAAGTTGTGGGTCATACTTTCTGGGTTTCTCAAAGTGAAGAGTTTGTTGGGTACATGTTCACTAGGCTTCTCACAAGCTCTACTGGTCTGCAGTTTTATTGCTCCAGGGCAGTGAAAAGCTGTTACATAGCTGATTAAATCTTGACAGCTACATAAGTGTACTTTGCTTTTTTTCTAGCTAAGTTGACCTTTGTTCAACAAACTTCTTTCTCTGCAAACTTCTTTCTTTTCTTTCTCTATGCAGCTCAACCCTTGCAATTGTTTTGGAAAATATATATTCTGTGTTTTGTGTAAGAGAAATCCACATTTCCCTGCACCCATCCATCGATTTCTCTCTGCTCAGTCATTGTTGCATATCTCTGGGGGTGGCGTGGATAATGTGGAAAGAGCAAGCACCTTATACATTTTAAAACTTTGTGCTCTTGGGTTTGTATCTTGTGCATTATTAAATATCATCACTACATTTTTACTTTTGGATCATTTCAACTCTGAAATTCTGAGGATTTGATGAAGAAATATATATTGTGCATTTCTCACATCATAGTATCAAGTATGACTCTTTCTTTAATTTCCAGCAAGACTGCAAGCTTTTAAAGAGAGTTACAGCATCATATCTAAGTGTGTCTTTAGTGCTGTACACATTGCAGGCATTGAATAAATGTTAGTTTATAATGTGGAGGTAGTGCTGATAATCTGGTGTGTAGTGGGTGTATTATTCAACAAATGTGTTCTGGAACCTCATGAGAGCAGGGCAGGTCCTCTTTCCTGTGGACACAAAACTACCAACTATCCCTCCTGGGGAGCCTAAATGCAAGCGGAGAAAAAGGACAAAAGAATCATGATAAATTGATATTTGTATTAAAAATGAGCTCCATTGGAATGAGAGCAAAGATGCCCTGAGTCTTAGGGTCAAGTGCAGAACTGGGTCTTAATGAGGAGAAGTTTGCCAGGCACAGAAGGAGAGAGGAGCTGTACTCAGCTGACAGGAAAATAAAACAGAACAAAACACACTAACAAACAGAAGCAAGGAGGACCATTTCTGGGGGGAATGCTGAGTGTTTATGTATGTTAAGATAAGAAAAATAGGTGTGGGGTATATTTGAAAAGTTAGACTTACATAGAATTAGGAATACTTGTAATTTTTCAGGCACTGGAGTCATATGACCAAATATATGCTGGAATGATGAAATTTAGGACAGTGTGAAGGCCAAATTAGTGTAAGGATACCAACAAAAATAGTGTGAGAAGATAAAACAAACAAAATGGCATTCGTGAACAACTGATGGGTGAATCTCTTTGCCTTAAGCCCTATCTTGCTCTGCTTAGCTAGGTATTAGTTGAACTTTTCCATTTTGTGTTTTTAGCAGTATAGTAAACTCCTAGCTATAAGGTCCTTATTGGGAAAGGGAGCCGCCTATGACTCAAATCAGTTTTGGCTCAACATCTAAGCTCTATCCTTACCCAAGCACAAATCATTTCTGCCCATCATAATGTAGAGATGCATGTCAATAAATACTAAAAGAAAACAAAAAGATTAAGTTGGGGGAAAATGCATTACAATGTGTTAAAGAAATCCCAACACATTCCTGACCAGGAGAGTCGGTCCATTGTTTGTGTTATTATGTTCATAGACAGCATGTTCTCTTTGTCAGTTCTCAGTCTTTGGGGATTTAAACTTGCTTTGTTCATCATTGCAACAACCCATGCAAGGGCAAAGGGATAGAAAACTGCAGGCCGGAGATAACGTGCAGGAGTGAAGCAAATAGAGGAGGGGAAGATGGCCTGAGGGCAGAAGATCAGCTCCAGACATTGAAGCCCTAGGCCAGAGCTAAATGGCCAGAGTGCAGAGCCGGAGAGGTACAAATACTTCCCAGCTCGCTGGCCTCCAGGCTGAAGAAGGTACAAGGGCAAGTGGCTATTGGGTTCCTCAATCCTTCACCCTTCAGAGTGGACTGGAAGCCGGTCTTTGATGATATCCAACTTATTTTATTTGATAAAAGATGAAATGTGTGTTCTCTTCTTAGGAATCTGTGAAAACGCTAGCAGGAGGTTTCAGGATATCGTGTTAGGGGAACTTGAGAGGCATTCATTACACCAAATGCTTCAGAAGGTGGAAAATATTTGGATGGCTCCAGAAGAACTAGTGTTTCTACCATCATTGAGGATGTTGCAAAAGCCTTAGAGTACTTTAACATACAGGATTTCTGTTGAGATTGTTGGTACCAGAGAGGGACAGCTATGCAGTCAATATTCAAAATAAATATAAAGTTGAAGCCATGTGTAAACTTGATAAATATATAAACAATCTGTATGTGAGTACGAACTATGAAAACAATAATACAATAAGGGAGTCCACGTAGCCTTAAGAAAAGTGGTATTAATTACCATGCCTGGCACATATTTATCTCACAATGATTCATTTTATTGAACTGAATTAAATATTAAAGAAAATATCTTCTTACTATTGGAAGAATCCAGGAAAACCCAGCTTGACTGTAGAAAACTTCTTCTATTAGCTTACTCTGTTAGTAGAGGGCCTCATACTCTAAAACCATTTATTCTTCTATTCTCCATTAGCTGTTTTGTAATCTGAGATTCCATGAGAAGCAATTCATTTTTAACCAGTCTCACAAGAAAATACAGAGAGAGAGAGAGAGAGAGAGAGAGAGAGAGAGGAAATGGGTGAATGCTGAGGCCAGTCATTGGTAGGCACCTTAGTTTTGTAGGATGCACAGCCCAGGAGGTAAAGGGTAGCTCAGGTCAGAGAAATATTTCTGGAGTGGGAGAAACTTCAGGGACATGGGCAAGAGTCACCTTAATGTTTCTTCACCCAAATTTGAGCAATTGTGTCTTTCTCCCTGAGGACACTCACCTTATGACACTGGCCCGGATGACAATGTTTCTGCTCTGAATATGCCTATGGATAGAGATTTTTACCTCTGTGTGCAGGGCCACAAGGTTACTAGAGACAAGAACTCCGAGAGACAGGGAGAAAAGGTGCATAGTGGCACATGGGCTGCATGACCCTTCCAGGCAACCATGCTGGGGAGAGAGTCCAATATAAAAACATGTCTGACATAGAGTAAACAGCCATGAGTGTTCACTTCCCACCCAGATTTTTCCGTATAGCATAACTTTCAAAGTTCTAAAATATGATCTGTAGGTATAGTGTTTTGAATTGTGCATCATCCCTCTCTCCCTCCCCCCTCTTACACACACACAGATACACACACACACACACACACACACAATGCACTTCTTGTCCTTAATATGTCTCTTGGGACTCTCAGTTTTCCTTTTCTATTCTGTTCCATTTTGTCAGAAATGCTGATTGAGGCCCAGTAAATTGATTTCCTGACCTCCAATGGATAGTGAACAGCCTTCTAGTGAAACCTGACTGTCCCAAAGGGCAGTAAAGTGTTAAACAGGGTCACTGTGTCCTAACCACACCACACTCCAACCAGAGGCATCATATATCCACCAGTGAGAGCAGGAGGGAGTGAGTTCCCCTCCTTCTCCTCCCCAAGTCTAAAAGGAAGAAGGAGTTTGAGAAGAGAGAGTTATAGAAAGTAGGAGGAAGTGAACAGAAAGTGAAAATAGCCTTCGCTTTATCTTAACAAAGTTCTCATGATTCAACTACAAAATACTTGCTTTAGTTTTCAAACTTGCATTTTAGTTTTCGATAACACAGCACACACAAATTTGAAATTTGCAGCTACATTCAGAATTTTCTCTTTGGATCCCGGTGAACATACACCATACCTTATAACAATATGAATAATGAATGGTTTGGGACATGAGTCCCTAGAAAACAGGAAAGAATAAATGACAATCTGATCATACCTTTGCATTTTGTAACCACTATGCTTAATTCTAATTCCTTTCTTTTTTCTTTCAAGGAAGTTTACAAGTTCGCTATCAGTTAAGCAAGGAAGAAACCCATGTTTTCACCATTGATGTAGAGAACTTTGCCAACAGAAAGATGCACCACTTGCAGATTAACCGAGAAGGAAGAGAGTTTACCATTCAGGTACCATACTTTCGATCTTTCCACTCAGTCGACGCTCCAAGCTTTTCTGACCTTTTGCGTGCAAGCCAAAAGTAGAGCCAAATGCTTCGTATGTGGAAGTGTGTAGCATTTGGCTTCAGTCTTCGACCAACTCAAACAGCCACTCTCACAGGCAGGACCCCCTGTGTCCTCCGTATCAGAGGGGTCCTTGTTAGGTATGCACATCTGGAGCCTCATGCTACATCACATGTATTCCCTTAGAAACTGGGACCTGGAGGTAGCAGGCGATTTCGATGCCTGCTCTATTTGTTGCTCTCTGAACTGAGGAAGATACACATAAAAAGAAGAACCCCAGCAGACAATGCCAGGGCTGAAGGGGAAGTGCGTTCAGGTACAAGGGAGCACAGAGGTAAGCACAGGTCGCACCTGAGCATCAATACTCACTTCCTAGCAGAGTTGCTAGGTGGAGAAGGGAGAGAAGAGGACTCAGGAAGAGGCTCCACGTGAGCACAAGTGGTGCAGTCTGAACGTCGAAGCCGGTGGTCGGCCCTCCTTCAAATCTCAGTAGTATCTGGGCCATGGCCAGACAGCACGAGAGGCCAGACTAGAATGGACACACGGTAGGGTTTGAGTGGCGCTTTCAAAGACCAAACCTTGTGTGGAGCCCTTCAATTTGCTGAGCAATCACTCCGTGTTATTTTCTTTCACCCTTCTCTCTTCTCCTCCCTGGCCATTTTACAACGCTTCCTCTCTGAGGCAATTGGAATATCATCTGCACTCTCAGCGAATGACTTTCTTTCTTCCTTTTTAAGAAATGTAGAGTTAAGAAGAAAATATCTTTTTTATCTCTCTCATTGAGTTTATTGGTACATTTTAGGGATACAGTACAGTTGCATTCATCATTGGGATCTTGTACCTTTACAGGACAGGTCTTGGTTCTCATTTTTCCCCCTTGTCCCTGCCCTCCCCATTTACAAACACTTTATTTCCATTTTCTCATATTTTTTCTTTGCCCTTATTACTTTTCCCCTACCCTTCCCACTTTCCCTACACCTTTAGCCCTTTTCTTCCTATTTCACCTTGTCAGTTATCTCATTAGGACCTTATGTTCCATTATAGTTATTCACACCAGAGAAACTATTCGGTATTTACACATGTGTGACTTATTCATTCCACTTAGCAGTATATCCTCAGTATGGATCCATTTTAAGAAGAAAATATCTATGCCCTCAGCAGCACATTTCCCATCTGCCTGCACCTCCCCCTGTTACTGACTGCGTTGTCCATGGTCCTAGCTAAGGTCTGGCCGACTCCCAGTGGGTCAGATCCAGAGCCCATTCAAACAGTACTCCAGAACCAAGACCTGTCATGTAAAGTACAAGATCCCAGTGGTGAATGTAACTGTACTGTACACCTAAAATGTACCGATGAACTCAATGAGAAAAAACAAACAAACAAACAAACAGTACTCCAGTGTTCTGCTTGCTCCCTCTTTATTTTACTGGTTTTTTTTTTCAGCTCTATTAGATGGACTCCCAAGGCATGAAAGAAGCAATTATTCCACACATTAACAACAAGACAAAACAAACAAGCAAACAAAAATCTGCTTGGGCCAAGGAGAGAAATCTATCTGCCACTAGACTTCACTGACTGTCCTTTTTGTGTCACATTTTATTGCCCAAGTCGGGGAATTGTTGTTTATATACTTGTTTTCCAAACTACTCTTCCTTTTCCTTACACCCTCACCAACAGGGTTTTTCCATACGGCACCAAAATTGTACTACTTAAGCACCAGTGGTGTTACTTTGCAGAGGTCAGTTTCAGGGCCCCGTCTTTCCCCATGGTCCTCTCCGTGCCAGCTGACACAGTGATGCCTCCTTGCTCTTGGGCTTGATATTGTTACATTTTCCTGCAGGATGTGTCTGCTTATTCGGCCTTTGTTAATTTTTCCATCTTGTCGTTTTGTGGGTCACCCTTCATCTCCCCAAGTTCTACCCACTGAAGCACAACTGGATTCCCTCCTTGGATGCCCTCTCCTTTGTAGTTACTCTCTCCGAGCTCAGGTTTTGCGCTGTTGTATATGTGCTGATGAACGCATCTCAGATGCTTTACTAACTGTCATCCGCTCCTGACAAGTTTGCAGTTTCTCTCCTTGACTGTAATCCTATCGTCACATTGCCTTTTTCTGCTTTACTATCTAACATCCAGTAACATTTACTTACTTAGCAGACCTTCTGTACTGTCTCCCTTCTCTAGAGTCTAAGTTTCATGACAACCCAGATTCTTCTGTTTTCATTATTACAGAATTAGAGAATCCCCACTTTAGTGAGGATTGGTTCACTTGCAGTGGTCATTCCACAAATACTTGAGAACTAAATGGACGAATTCCACACTGCTCAAGATGCTCTGTGCCGAGGATTGAACTGACCCTTTAGAGGGAGGGGAAGCATCGACTTATTGTGAAAGTAGCATGGTATGGTTTTCAGTTCTATGATCACCGCATGGCGGGACAGGAGGTATAGACAGAGGTCAGTCAGGAAACGATCCTGGGGCCTCAAGTGGAGCAGCGTGGGAAGCTGTGGAGGGATGGACTGGAAGGAGGTCGTAGGAGTAGTGGCAGTAGCGTTGGCAACCACTTGGCTGTAGAATACAGGAGAAGTTAGGAACGACCGTCAATTATCTCAATGGGATGATATTCAGGAATAATGGTCATTCATGGAGCACCCATAATACCCCCGTCATCAGAATTTCGTAGGCTTACCTCTGGCAACTATTCCAGCGGTACGCAGGGTGCACGTCCTCTGAGCACATTTATCTCCGAGCCAAACAGAAGGGTGACAGGAACGGGGACGGACTTCTCTGGGTAGGGTTGGACTAAGGTCCGGGAGGGAGCACTGGGGAGTGTCTGGTACCCATTTGTACACATGACTCGTTTGCCCCTGCTTTATACTTCCTGTCATCTTTTCCACAAATAAAAAACTACAAATAGGAAACAAAGAGAGAAATGAGATCCACTCTTACTCCCCCATCTCAGTAATCTCCACCATTAACTTACAGATTTTAACGTGCACCTGCTGATGAGCAGATAGAATTACTAATGTGTGAAAGGAGCAAAACAAAGAGGAAAACGTGCACTGTTCTAACTTTCATTGTCTTACCAGTCCTGTTTTGCCTTTCCTCCAGCTAAAATAAGCTCTTCTGTACAAATAGGAAAGGGCAGGCTATTAATACATCCCTAAGTCCACCCACACCCTGTGCAAAATGTTTTAGGCACTACCATACCTATTAAAAGAGGGGGAAGGCAGGTATCGCTATTTTCCATTCAAGACAAGGAACTCGTCTTTCTGACAGTGAGTCTGCTTGTCTACTTATATGTCTGCATCTATCTCCTTGCCTACTACAGAAGGATGAAAGCAAGCAGACTAAGTCAGTCTCACAGAGCTTGTGTGAAAGGTCATCGCTAAAAATTCAATAACAAAGTGACATCTGGGACTTGCTCAAAATAAAGGGATTTTTATCCCAGTTATCCATTTAATAACTGGCCAGTGTCACTGAGTATTCTGGGTTCACAAGCAGACTGAGCTTCTGTGAGCCAGATTGCAAACCTGAGCAGCCTAAAGGTGTGGAGAATAGAGTGTCTCCCTCACCACCTTACCAATTGTAACTAAGACAAAAACAATACAAAGAATAGCACAGCTACATGAGAATAGAATAAAAGAAGACACCTCTCGCTTATCACATCAATGATTTCTTAGCCTGTGTTATAAATAATGAAATCTTGAACCAATCTTTGTGTATCCCTTTATTTTACTTCCACTCTGTGCATGGACTTAGATTTTTAAATAGGCAACGTAGCGCCTGAAACAGCACTGGTGCATAGGTGCACGCACTCTTGCCAAGGCTGCTGCCCCTACTCCGAGTGAGCTATTTGCTGTCCTCCAACAGTCTCAAGATTCCTCGCAGATATCTCACCTTCCTCTCCCAACTGTCATAAACACTGATTTTGCTGAAACCTTCTGTCCCTGTACTGCTGATCTCGTAAAAGCGTTAAGGACCAAACAAGTTCTCACAAAGCAAAACCTGGGACAGGAATGACTCCGGCACCGGGATAAGGAGCTCGCCCATGAGTGGCACTCGAGCAGATGTCTGTGTCCAGCAAACCACTTGGGGCTGACCTTGGGGAGCCTGTGGAGTGGCGAGGACCAGAGTGAGGGGAATCTTAGCTCCAACTCTCTTCCAAGAACCCTCCTACTGCTCGCCCCTTGGCACGGCATCCGCATTCCCTTTAGCCCTTCTTCCCAGGCGAGTGAAGCCTGAGGTGAACTATCTTGCCCGCTTCTGGAGGAAGTCACACCAGAGAGATGGTAGAAGGAGGCAGGTAAAAGCTCTGGCAGAGACAGAAGAAAGCTTGTCCAGGGCCTGAACCCAATGAGTAGGCACTAAATAGATGTTAGGTAGGGGACCAAAGGCACTAAAGACCTCTTGTACCTAAAGACATCCTGGCATTTACTGTGGACTCTGTCTTCATAGCCTACTCGACAGCAGTGGAATCCATGCAAGATGCTCATCTAATCACTCAGCAAACTTTTCCAGCTCTTGTTGCCAAAAGAAAATATGCATAGGTAGAGGTGACTATAATTCTCAAAGTGTCCATAGTTTAAGGGGGTGGGAAGGGCAGGCAGAGGGGAAGGCGTGGGGCAGAGGTCACTGTAATGCAGTATCTTACTTAGTAGTACAAAGCAGGCAAAAAGTTCAAGAGAGTGAGGGCTAGGGGAGGGAGAGGGGAGAAAGTAGAAACACTTAAAAGGTGTCACATACAGGTGCCACCTACCCACAATGAATGGAGCTTATCACTTTATAGGTCATAAACAATATACAAGTGATAATAACAACAAGAGTGATAACAATAAGAATAATAAGACGAAGAAGAATGAAAATGGAAAGGAGATTTAGAGGAGGGTGACAAGTGGGTGGCAAGGGGACAAAAAAGAGTCAGATCGTGTTATGTATCTGCACTCGCTCCCCAGGAGGAATGCGCACTCCGTGTACCACAAACGTGTACTAAAAACCCTGGAGAGGAATGGAGAAAAGGGTCAGCTGTAACCTAAACAAAGCCCCAGGAAAGACATTCTGCAGGGGTGGATCAGAGTGTCCTTAAGTCAGCCCCTGGCATGCAGTAGATGCTCAACCGTTCGTTGATTTCCTGCTGAAGAGATTTAGGAAAAGAGTGAAAGTTCTCTGGTTGTCCAAATACACAGCATAGTGTAACAGGCACACCTGAGGGCATGTGTTCGGTGGGCCACAAGGCAAGGGGACACCACTTTGTGATGAGCTGTGTCCTGGGTCAAGGTGCTCACCTCTGTGACATCAGTTTTGCCATCTGTGCTACTATTAACATGTAATATAGTTTAAACAAATTAACACATTAATTAGTAATAATATTATCAGAAATAATAGGGCCTAGTTCAAAGTATTCTACAGAGAAATACATTTGGAAGTGTGCATTAGTATCATGTCTCATGTGTTCCATTGTCCAATAAATTGCAGACACGAGTAACGTGGGATCAAGTCTCAAAATAGTAACAAAGCACACAATCATGTAAAAGGTCCCAGCCGTGACTCTTAGTCATAGGAGAAAGCAGCACAGCCCTAGGATCCAGAGGACCATAATATCGATTGTGCCCAAAGCAGGCTGTCAAGAGTGAGCCCCACAATTGGCTTGTTTGTGGAAGTGAGTCTGGCTGGCCTACAAGCCAACTTCAGAGTAACTCGCACCCGGATTCCACTCCCACAACTAACACCTGACTAGAAATACAATGTTCTAGTTACAACAATGTATTTTGTCTATTCTGCTCCTAATGCAAGAATGCTTTGTCTTGTCCTTTATGAGCCTTTTTTACATTAATCTCCATTGAAACTGCACATAGCTTGCTTTTACTTCAATTGGTTGCCAATAAAAGTCAGTAATTGGGACTGGCCCGTGCCTTGGCCAGTTGGTCATCCTGGCTCCGCCTTTCTCTTCTAGCTCTGTCTCTTAGTTTTATTTCTCAGGCCTGAGTCATATACTGGGCAGGGTACTGGAACTCAACCGAGGGGATCTCCAGTACTGGGAGGCTCCCGAGGGGTGCCCTGAACACATGGGTGTTCATGGAAAGTGCTGGGAGGAGGAGATGGAAGGAACCTGACCTGCTGCTTCCCAGCTGTGCTGCCGGGAACACAGCTCTATCGTCCTAGTCTCCTCTTTGTACAGCACACGAGCACAGGATAGGCAGCCTTTCCAATACATAAGCGCATCCTGCAGAGACTCGGAGTAGGGTCTGAAAGGAACTGGCTGGATCTGACAGGGCTGAAACATGAATAGCTGGGGTGGATGAACAGCACTACCTAGGAATGGAGTAGTGGGAGCAGACAGCTAGAATTTGCAGGAGATCCCTGAAGGATGGCCTGTAAACACCATCCTGGGGGACATTTGCTCACTCCTGCAGGGTGGGGGATCAGCCAGGTGCCAGTGATCACTGTCTCATGGCCTCGCCTCCCTAGAGAGAGGTTGTCAAACTGCAGCAGTTCTTGCTCAGGAAATCCCTCAGTCCAAACTTGAATGAGACCAGATAAGAACTGTGGAGAAAAAGAGAACAGTGTTGGTCCTCGGGACTGAAGAGGGAAAGCGGGGAAGAGCGCAGGTAAAAGTATCTGTTACCACTTGACATTCATCCTGGGCCGCAGTTCCTGCACTGGTTTCATTTGTTTACTTGTTTGCTGCACAGAATTGGGTGAGGAAATCTCCACGGAGAGATAAATACCTGTCACAAGCTGTATAGAAAAAAAAAAAAAAAAGCTATGCAGAATTTCCCAGGGAGAAAAATGCCAGTGAAAGCCCTTATTTAACAATGAAGAAAGAAATAGGTATTTTACGTGCACTGTTGGAGAATTATCAAGACATTTCTAAATTTTCCTGAGGAAAGATCCTAGAGCAAAGTCTATGCTGTGTGCATTTTTTAATGACTGTTTCCACATGGGAATTATTTGTGCCCTGTGCCTGAGGACCTTGGCTGACAAGCCCTTGTTTTTCTCTTTTCTGGCAGATGGACCAGCAACTCCGGCTAAGTTATAACTTCTCACCTGAGGTCGAGTTCAGGACCATCAGATCACTCATCCTGGGCAAAGTCACAGGTCTGTTGCCGTAGTCGATACCTTTCCAGGGTGCTCCGTTAAAATAAATGGATAATAAGTAAATACCTTCCACTAAATTCCCCGTGACTGAAACCTGGCGCCTTTGCTCTCAGGGTATGCAAAATCTAGAATCAAGATTTCTGACACAGAAAATGTATAAATGCATGTGTGGCAAGCTCGGAGACTGAAATTTATTTCTACGGGATTGGTTACTTTATATGCAATTAGGAAGATAAAGTAGCAAAGTAAATTAGTAAAATAATACACAGGCTAAAGCAAGAGGGTCACAAGTTTGAGTCCAGTCTGGGCAACTTAGCAAGAGCCTTGTCTCACAATAAAAAGGGTTAGAAGGATGCCTCAGTGGGAAGGCCTGGCATTTAATCCTAGGGACCATAAATAATAATGACAGTAATAACAAACCATATACTTGGTTTTACATCGTTGTTGTTTACATTCATATAATGTTTTACTTTAATGTATTTGATGTTTTCTCAAACAGAAAATACAAATGTGGACCATTTGTAAATGATTAAAGTCTATTATATAGAGATTTCTTTTCCTACTGTATGACAAATTTTTACTTTCTATATCAGGGTGTTTATTAGGTACACATAAGATTGAAAGTTTTCTATGTTCTCGATGAATTAAAAATATTTATCGTATTTAATAATGTCCTTTAACTTTAATAATATCTTCTTGAGCTTAAAATGATTTCATCTGTCAGTAACATAGCTAACTAGAGTTTTGCTTTGGTTACAGTTTGCCTGTATTTCTTTCTCATCCTTTCTTTCCGATCTTTATTTTACTGTTAAGCCTTACACGTGATCTTGTGTAAAGCACATAATTGAGTCATGACCTTATACCCTGTTTGGCCATTTCTGTTTTTCATGTAGGCAGGGGCACCTCCTTTCCTATTATTGCTGGTACAGTTGGACTTGCCTCCTTGTTTTGGGGTTCCACATATTCATGTGATTCTATCGTGTACTTTATTATTGCCAATGCCAAAAAAATAACTTCATGCATTTTAAGCAGGATTAGTTTTAACACAAAGCATCAGTTTCTTAACAAAATGTTGTAGTACTCATGGTCTGAGTTCTTATTGTGGCTTTTGGAAGGACTTCCCAAGTGGATTTCCAGGTGCACTGATGGGGATTTCTAGGGAGCTGCTTATCACCTATAGGTGCTACTGGACAGTCCAGGAGCCAAGAGGGCCCCAGTAGGGCAGCTCAAGCTACAAGAGTGGGGAGATCATTAAGTGGTGGCTGCAGAGGACGCTGTATGTCACGGATTGCTTGTTGGAAGAGTTAAAAAGCCAAGAAAATGACTCCTTCTTTGTGGATCTTTTACTTGTATAAAAGGGATACAGTTTGCAGAATATAATGCGAATCTGGAAGCCTAACCATGGAAAGTCTAGTAAATGTCAATGTTAATTTTCAAGTGGCAGCTGAATGAACTAATCAATAGTAACAGGCCTCTGGGTTGCTTTTATTTCTTACCCCATTGCTCCATCTTAATAAGAAGAAGGACTGTTATTTTCGGGAGATACTCTTTATTTGATTTACTAACATAGCCAGTAGCTTTTTTGCTTCCTATTCCTTCGTCTCAGACCTTTCTACTTTCTACCACATTCAATTTTCTTGTTTCTGAATCAAATGCCTTTTGCTGTGTGAAAGTCCCTCAATTTTAACCTTTTTAGCTGAAAAAAGGTCCTTATTTCACCTTCATTCTTGGAAGAGAATTTTATTCCACTTAGAACTCAGCACGGAAGAATCCAGTTTTTTGGAGCCAGTGGGCCCTGACTCCTAGTGGAGACAAAGCACGTCTTTCCGTAACGCTGCACTTGGTGATGCCGTGATGGGAACTTTAAACAGCCCAGCTCAGGAGTGCTCACCCTGTGGGAGCTGGAACTGCTGCCGCCCCTTCCAGCAGAAGAGCCACTTTTAAATTCTCACACAGTGCATCACTGAGCTCTCTGATCCTTCAGCACCAGCGACTGCTATTGACAAGCCGCCGGTCCATCCATCCCACCTTTCAAAGTGCTCTGACACCCCACCTCCTGCAAGATGCCTTTAAGGCCACCTAATTTCCTTTGTTCTTTTGTGATTTTATGATGTGTTTGGATACAGATTTCCTTTTTAAGTATCTCGCGTGATATCTTCGTGTTCTCTGAATCTATTCATGAGTTCATACCTACCGACCTATCTAGTTTATAGGCATGGATCCTGTGTCTGTTTATTACTTCTCAAAGATCTTAACATATCAAATATTACTTCTTCCACCTTCTTTTTGCTAAATTATTTTAGATTTCGATTCAATAAATCTTAAACTTTCTAACTCTAAACTTACATCTCTTAGCCTCTTTTGCTAACCTTTTTACTCTGTCACAGTAGCTTGCATTCTGGTTAATTTATTTGATGACTATGTTAGTTGCTTGTCTCTCACTGCTGAGATAAAAATACCTGACTCCCACAGTTGGAGGGGAAGGGGTTTATTTGGCTTGCAGTTCAAACAGATTACACTCCATAATCAGCTGGCTCCAAAGCTGGTATGGGAAACAAGAGGAGAAACAATATGGCGCACACAAGGCAGCAAACACAGCAAAAAGGTTTAACAGAGTTTTCCTGCCCGCTTTACCTCACCCAGCCTGCTTCGGGTGGATTGCACTCCCATCCTCAATACGAACACCCTTAAGCCTAGCATTGTATCATGCATGAATCAATTCCAGCATCACACACTCTAGATCAGGCCTGTGACCACGTGAGGCTTTGTGGGGACATCTAGACTCCAACTATAGCAATTACACTCTTAGTTTCTCTAATTCTTCATGTATGCCTAATCCCTTTTACCCTCTTCAGTGATTCAGTTTTCACTGATGATGCTTTCTTTTATTCTAAAAATAACTGTTATTTTTAAAATATGTCTGTTAACTTAGGTAACCCTGTTCATTCCATATTTGTTTCCATCTTTCTAGACCATTAAGTATTTCTCCATAGTTACTGAACATTTTGTGCCTGTGAATTCCAACATCTCCAATGGATGGGAGTCCAACTCTGTTACTTTTATTCTTCTAACTCTTTCCTATGGTGTCTTATTTCTTTATACTGGGTATGCTGTGTGAGTATGTATTTGTGTATGTACACACACACACACACACACACACACACATGCAATGTCCACATGCAGTTGAAATTAATTTCTGGAAGCCTAAGGGCTCAAAAATTGGGAAGCTCCCACTTGGTGTGTGCAAGGAGATACTACTTACTTAGGACAGTATCCCACCTCTAAAGATGAGTTCCGAACCTCAGTGAGATTAAGCAACTAAAGTTTCAACAGAAAGGCTATAAATAATAAAATAATATATAATAATCAGGTGTGGCGGTGCATTCAGGCTGGGCAACTTAGTGAAAGACCCTATCTCAAAACAAAATAAAAAAAGCAAAAGTGCTAAGCTGTAGCTGAGCAGTATAGTACTTGACTACCATGTGCAAGATCCTACATTTGATCCCTGATATTATTAATACATACATACAGATATACATGATATATCATTTTATTATTTTTCTATTTATATTAATAAATATACACGTGTGTTAATAAACTTGTTTTAATACATTTCTTAATGGTTTAGAATTTCATTATTTTGCTATACTTTTGATTTTTTGTGTTCTTTTTCTTTTTTTTTTACTTAGAATGACACCAAAAGTGGCCATGCGTTTTGTTTTGCTTACTCCTTATTGTATTAGGTAATTTTTTTTTCCTGATCCACTTTTCTTTAAAGCTTCAGATGAGAATTTTAGGTTCAATGTCTTCTCTTTGCAAAGGTTCAAGGCTTGAACTCCCCAGTCTTACTGAGAATGAATCAGTTATTTCTCCCTAGTGAAGCTAACATTGGTTTATGGCTCAGTGTCTTGGTTTCACCTTCTCTCTCAAAACAAACAAACAAAAAAATCCCCCAATACTTAAGATTCCTCTTTATTTCCTAAAGCTCAGCAAAGCATTAAATGTGCTTGTTGATGTTCCATAAACAGGATTCCATTTTAGAGTGTATAGTCTGTTACGATTGACATATGCTACCCACGTATATTTTGGGTAGCTGAATTTTGATATCACAGAAGTCAGAAGAGCTTTGGGAGGAGAGATAATTAGAGCCCTCTCATCAGAAAGCCAAGACCTTTGTGATGGTGTCTGCTTTGTGTAATGAAGCTCTAATAACACCTCTCTTTTAATTTTTAAAAGTTCCTTAATGAATCTTGCTACTGCGTACGACATCTCTAGCACCTTTTACTCTTTTCTCTTCAGCCAACAGTAATAGGATGACACTTCAAAGCGATGCATAGTTGAAGGACACTTTGTTGTTTTGTTTCTGATGCTTCGTGATAATCAGCTAGAGAAGAACAGGATAAACACTGAGGAAGAGGACTCAAAATGTCTTCATTGTTCCTCCTTCTTTTCCGTTCACACTGCTGTTACGTAGAAAGATTTGTAGTCACAATGACACCTAACAATCTGGTCTATGAAGGGCTCTCCCTGGACATGAATGTCAGTTTACCTGTTAAGGAGGGTTGCTAATCCTGGGGAAAATTTTACAAAGCAAAGAAACCAGGTGCACCTATTAGAAAGTAGCATAAGGTTGGAGAAAACAGGAAAGGATGGTGTAGAAATGGATACATGGACCTGAGGGCAAATGTCACCCAACCCCTTAAATTTAGAAGAGGAGATTTTCAGTGTACAGTTTTATTGGACATTTTTTACTGTAACTTAAGGATTTGAAAGCATTCGTCTGGGTAAATACTAAGAGAAGTAGGTTTAGAACATTTATCTGTTTTGTTCGATACCATTGAAAACATTCCATTGTAAAGGATAATCAAGTCTGATCACTTTTATTTTTTGTAAGAGGAAAAACAATTCACTATTTTACAGGATAGTGATTGAGTGCACGCTGCAAGGGCCCAGGTGCTTCATATAGGATGATAAATACAACTGCTTCCATCCTGCAGTGT